TCCTACGAACCTCTAACCAGGTAGCCTCTTTCTAGACTCGCGCGCCGCAGTGTCGCTAATTTTGACTGAAATGTTTCAGTGCGATACCATATGTGGCGACGCGAAGGTAGGCTTGTTGAGATTTCAGGGCATGTTTCCAAACCTCTTTTCGGGCAAACATATTTTCAGACACGCGAAGCGAAGCTGTACAGCGCGAGCTATTTTCAAGTGGTTGAAAACGGTGGAACGGAAATGTGAATCGTGTTTAACTTTGAACAAAGGACCTGAGAACACGCTCTCAAGTTAGCGCGCGAGTCTGGGAAGGCTTTGATTGGGAAGATATTCTTAGGAACACTCTTATTATTTGCTCGGTCTGTTATCGTTTTTGCTTGGCTATGATAGGTTTCCCGTAAGTTTTTACTCAAGTGCTAAGGACAAACACACACTTTGCACTTTAATAAATTTGGACTAGTTATTTTCTCATGATCTATTTGCATGCACATACAAAAATAAATATATTGATATGCAAACAATATATATATGTGCTAAATATTTATAAAAGTTCCATGCCTTTTCAACATTTTCATGTAGGCACACTAAACATCCAATAAAGTATAGGTGCCCAGTAACAACAATGACAATCCAAGATGTAGCATTAAAGGTTTAGGAGAGTACTGATCAAGTCTACGACATTTGCCAACATACTTGAGCGTGTGCACTGATAACGACATGTTTTCATAGCAAGGATACAATTGCTCATTGTTGGCCATAGTGACGTTGTTGGTCTTAGGAGTAGCGACCACATTCGAGACCAATCGGTGCGAGCTCATTATGTGTTGTTAACAACAACTATCCAGGTACCGAATGTTGTAGTTTGTGTCGCTGCCGCAAGCAAGGAGCGGGAGATTCGGAGTCAGCAATAACAAGCGCTTAGAGCGATACATGAAACGAATATCAACTTACACATATGCTTATATGTAGAAGTTTTAGGCTAGATAGGTTTGTGTTCTTACAGAGTACGTCTCCAACCCTATATCTTCATTGTACTCTCTTGGTTAATCCATTCTAGTATTCTAACATGGTACCAGAGCAGGTTAGGTCTGCTTCCGTCCACCCGCTTCCGCCCCCTTGCACTAGCCGTCCCCTCACGCGCCTAGCCGGCCCCTCTGGCGCCTAGCCGGCCCCCTCTCGTGCCGTAGCCGGCTAGCCAGCCCCTCGCGCGCCGTAGCCAGTCCCTCGCGCCTAGTCGCCCCCCTGCGCCCAGCCGGCCTCTCTCGCGCATAGCCGGCCCCTCGTGTGCCTAGCCGGCCCCTCACACCTAGCCAGCCTCTCATGCCTAGCCGCCCCCTCGCGCCTAGCCGGCCCCTCCCGCCGTGAAGAAACGCTGTCCAGGAGCAGCTGCAGCTGCAGCAGACGTCGCAGCAGCAGTCGCAGCAGCAGGAGCAGCAGCAGCAGCAGCAGCAGCAGCAGCAGCAGCAGCAGTAGGCGTCACTGTCACCGTAGCAGCAGCAGCAGTCGTGGGCCCGCCTCTCGCCGGGGTGGCCAGGAGCCTCTGAAGGTGGTGGCCGCGGTGGCGGCCCTTGCAGCTCGGCGTCTCCCCGGGTCCTACGTCTATCCAGGTTGCTGCGGCTCGTGTCGGTCGGTCACTCACCCGTCACTCCTGTGGCACCACCGCCTAGGTCACCCCTCACTCCCGCGTCTGCGTCAAATGTCTCAGCACGGTCTCGTCCTAGGTCTCCCTGCGTTGCTTCCTGCCATCTCCCTCGCCTACGCCGCCGTGCACGCCCTGTGTCAAGGGCTGGCTGCGCCGTGCTCCTCACTCCTCCTCACTTCGCCCTGCCACTGCACCCCTCCACACCCTGCACTTAGACGTCTGGGGACCAGCCCCTGCCTCTGGTCCGCGTCGCGAGCACTACTTTCTCGTGCTCGTCGACGACTTCACGCGCTACACCACGGTGTTCCCCCTGGAGCGGAAGGCCGACGTGCCTGGCGTTCTTATCCCGTGGGTCGTAGCTGCGCGTCTTCACTGCGGTCTCCCTGTGCTGTGTCTCCACTCCGACCGTGGTGGCGAGTTCGCCTCTAGTCAGCTTGGACAGTTCTGTCGTGCGGAAAGCATCACCCAGTCGTACACTCTGCAGGACTCCCCGCAGCAGAATGGGGTCGCTGAGCAATGCATCGGTTTGGTCATGGAGATGGCTCGTACCTCCATGATTCATACCGGTGCACCCCATTTTCTGTGGCCGTTCGCCGTTCGCTACGCCGCTCACCAGCTTAACGTGTGGCTGCGATCCCAGCGGCCGCAGGTTTCGCCGACCCTTCTTTGGACCAGGTTCCCTGGTGATGCGTTTGCGTTCCACGTCTGGGGATGCCTTGCTCACGTTCGTGTCTCTGGCACGGACAAGCTCACTGCCCGCACTACCCCCTGTGTCTTCCTCGGTTTCCCCCTTGACTCGTCTGACTGGTACTTTTACCACCCGCCGTCTCACCGCTTGCTTCACTCGCGTGACGTCACTTTTGACGAGTCTGTCTTCTTCTACAGCCGCTTTCCCCACGGAGGTCTCCCGGTTTCCACTCCCCTGCTTTTGGTTCCCACCCCCCCGGTAGCCCCTGCCCCCCTTACCCACCGTCCTGCCCCGTCTGGTGTGTCTCACGTCACTCTCCTCCCCTTGGTTGTCCCGGTTGAGGAGTCGGCGGACTCCGGTGGCCTCGTGGCGCGGTTCTCGCCGCTTGTTTTTGCCTCGGTGTCTCCTCCTCCGCTGCCGTCGCCACCGCAGCCGCAGCCGCTGTCGCTGCCGCAGCCGCAGCCGCCCTCCGTGGGCACTGGGGGTGGCGCAGGTCCTGGAGAGGGTCCAGGTTCTGGGGGTGGTAGTCCTGGGGTTCCTGTCATGGCTTGCCCCAGCTGTCTCGGGGGTGGCACCGGTTCCGGAGAGGGTTCTAGTCCTGAGGAGGTTGGTTCTGGGGGTGCTAGAGTGGAGCTTCCTGGAGGTAGTCGTGGTGCAGCTGGAGGTTCAGGCGTCGGCGTGGAGCAGCAGCACTAGCCGCAGTAGTAGCGGCCAGAGTAGCAGCACCAGTCGCCGCCGGTGTCTGCCCTTCGAGTGCAGCGGGCCTTCCCTCCCCTGCCCGCTTGCCTGAGCCTCCCCCACCCCCTCCTCTTCTTCCTGTCTACAGTCATGTCGTCCCCGGCTCGTTCCCCCCTTGTACCTCCTCCCCTGTCTCCTGACCCGACGCCTCCCTCTCACGTCCGGTCTCATCGCCCCTCCCGTGCTCGTCCTGTCTCCCCTATTCCGAGCACTCACCCTATGTTGCTTCGTTCCCACGCGTCTCGTCCTCCCCTCCTCCCGTCGCCTTCTCAGTCCTCGCTTGTTGTCACTCCGCCTCCTCTGTTTGACTACCTCTGTGCCACTCGTCCTCTTGTTCCTCGGGTCCTTGCCTCTCTCGTTACCGACCCGTCTGTTCCTGTCTCCAGTCTTGAAGCGCTTGTTGGTGCCGTCGCTGGCTTCGCCTCTACCCGTCGCCTTGACTACGCCACCGCTCTGGTCTCTGACCTTGCCCGTCCTCCGTCCATCGGGGATGCTGCTGCCCTTGGCAGTGACGTCCTGGAGGACGGGCAGTACGAGCTTGCTTTCCTATCCGAGGCTGCTCCCCATCTCTGTTCCATGCTGCTAGTCCTTGAGGGTGACCCTGACACCTTTGACATCCCGACCCCTCCCACCTACGTTGAGGCGACCTTGGGACCCTGGGCCTCTCAGTGGATAGCTGCCATGGAGCAGGAGATGGCATCTTGGAGATCCACCGGCACCTACGTCGATACAGTTCCCCCGCCTAGGGTGAACGTTGTCGATGGCCAGTGGCTCTTCAAGGTGAAGCGCCCTCTTGGAGAGCCGCCTGTGTTCAAGGCGCGCTACATGGCTAGGCACTAGTCAGCGTGAGGGGGTGGAATTTTCTCAGACCTTCGTCCCAAACCCAAAGATGACTACTCTTCGGGCACTGCTATACATAGCAGCACAGCGTGACTATGAGCTGCACTCCCTCGACTTCTCCACTGCGTCTCTTCAGGGCAGCCTACACGAGCAGGTCTACCTGCGCCGTCTGCAGGGCTTCACTGGTACCTTCCCTCCTGGGACCCAGTGGCTCCTCTAGCGCCCGGTCTATGGCCAGCGATAGGCGCCTTGTGAGTGGCACGACACTTGGTAATCAGAGTTTTTCTCACTCGGCCGCGCTCAGCAAAGCGGCAGCAGCGGGAAAACCTGCCTCGAAAAACCGCCGGGGGGGACTAATTCGGCGCCGATTCTGGTAAGCACCAGCTCCGCGTTTTTTTATTTTACCCCGCCGTGCGTGTTTTGAATAGGATGGCAATTCACGACAATGCCGAGGTTACCCAGCAGCTCTTCGCGCGCATCGCCGCCCTACAGGATGAGATGCGAGCCGACCGCGAAGCTTGGCGAAACGAGTTCGAGCGAGTAACTCGACTCACCGGCGCGCACCACGAAACGACAACGGCAACGACGCAGCAGTCACAGCAGTTTCTCGAGGCTCCGAAACCGCGCCCACCTGAGCCGTTCGATCCGAGCGATCGAAACTCCGACGTCCGTAGATGGAGATCAACTTCGCAGCCGTCGGATGGAGCTCGCCAGTCTGGGACGGTCAACGTGTACGACTCGCGGCGACACTGATGCGAGGGCCGGAACTCGAGTGGATCGGCGGCAACAGCACCTTCATCCACGGTGAAGCCACGTGGGAGCGGTTTCGCACCGACCTGCTGAAGTGATTCGAGCCGATAAATTCCGGTTTCTTGCAGCCTAAAGTATTTGAAGACACAACCAACCCTCTCCAGGCGATAGGTTCGGTGGATCGACTTCCTTGAGACACACTTCCACTACGTCATCGTGTACAAGCCGGGACACAAAAACAAGGCAGACGCTCTCAGCCGGCCTGTACACATGGCTGCTATCCAAGTCAAAGAGATGAGCCCACTACTCAAGGGGCTCTTCACGCACGGGTACACCATTGACCACGAAATTCCCTTGGCAGAAAAGCGACACCTGCTACAGTGGGACAGTGACATCACCTACAGGAAAGGATCCACAAAAATCCGGGTTCCCAATTACCCGCCTTTGTGCCAGTTACTACTCGAAGAGTACCACGATGTCCTATATGCGGGACACTTCGGTAGCAACAAGACGCTCACCGGTATTGCAAAACACTACTACTGGCCTCACATGGCAGCTGACGTACAAAAGTTTGTCACCTCGTGTGATACGTGCCAGAGGATGAAGAGCAGCAAGCAGAAGAAGGCAGGACTACTACAGCCTCTTCCTGTCCCAGAACACCCATGGCAAGTGGTGAGCCTGGACTTCATCACCGGGTTACCAACTACCACAAGCGGTCATGACGCAATCCTTGTCGTCATCGACAAATTCTCCAAAATGGGACACTTCATCCTGACACATGCCACAGCACACACCGAGGAGACAGCACAACTATTTGTGTGCTACATAATCTCACAGCATGGCATCCCAACCACACTCATCTCCGACTGATACCCAAAGTTCACCAGCAAGTTCTGAAAAGAACTGATGTCTTTGCTCGGAACCAAACTCGCCATGTCATCTGCCTACCATCCGCAGACAGACGGACAGACCGAGCGTCTCAACCAAATCGTGGAGCAACTCCTTCGCGCAGCTTGCAAGGACGATATCTCCAAATGGGACTTGCATCTACCCGTCCTGGAGTTTGCCTACAACAACGCCACTCACGCCGCTACAAGACAGACGCCGTTCTTCCTCTGTTACGGCCGCAACCCACTCACGCCACAAGAACCAATAGTTTGAGCCACAGTCCAACCGGCACACGAATTTATCACGACCATGCACCAGCATTGGGATCGGACCCACAAGCACCTCCTCGACATTCAACAACAACAGAAACGCCAGGCCCATCGCCATCGCACCGACCACACCATCACCGTGGGGGACCAGGTCCTCCTCGACACCTGCAATCTCAACATCCGTCATCTACCACCCAAAATGCGACCTCGCTTCTGCGGACCCTTTCTCGTTGAAGCACAGGTCACTCCTGTTACCTTCCGCTTACGCCTGCCAGCCACCTGGAAGATTCACAACGCCTTCCATGTGCAACTTCTAAAGCCCTACAGAGATCCTAACACGATCTTCACCGGTCGCCAACCGCTGCCGCCACCACCCGTCCTCGTCCGAGTACGAGGTCGAGTCTGTGCTTGCTCATCGCCATCGTCGGAATGGCGCCGTGGAGCTTCTCATTCGTTGGCAGGGTTATGATCCTTCGGAGGATAGCTGGGTTCCTGAATCTGCAATGGCTAGTGCGCGTCGTCCTCTTCGCGACTACCTTGTCAAGCATGGTGTTACTTCGACCACCCAGCTTTGAGGGGGGGAAGTGTAAGAGTACGACCCCGTTACACTAGTTTCTCCTTTTCCATATTTCCTTCCTATTCATTCCTCATTTTATCCCCATTCATTTGGTCTTTATCTCATCTCATTTGGTTTCCTATTCCTCCTTTTCCATTATCCTTTGGTTTATCCTGCTATTATAATTATATCACCGACCAGGCTCGGGATGTACTGGTACGCTCTATCTAGCGTAATCCTGCCGTAATCCCTTGAAGCCAATAACCTCGCGTGGCTATACGCAGGGTGATTCTATTTCTAGAAGGGTCTATTCCCCTTGGATAGGATAAACCTGGTTACCTTAAGTACTCGGGAAGTATAAAAGCACCTTGTATCCATCGATAGTGCTACCTTTCCTCGAGACATTGGATCCTGTGACACGCTGCGTGCAACGCTCGCTGACCTGCAGTTCTTTCCGTCCTCTGCAGACCCCTCGCTCTTCGTTCGTGCTGGCGAGACTCCGTTCTACATCCTAGTCTACGTAGACGACCGGGTCTTCGCTACTGCAAACAGAGACGCGCTGGCCTCCGTGAAGGTCGAGCTGCTGAGGAGACACATCCGCACTGACCTAGGAGAGCTGCGCCGCTATCTTGGCCTGCATATCTCCAGGGACAGAGCAGGGTGCACCATCACTCTCACTCATTCACACTTGGTGCGCCAGGTCCTTCAGAGGTTCGGCCTTCAGTTCTCCTCTGCATAGCCCACACCTCTGCCAGTAGATCACAGGCTCTCAGCTCCAGTTCCTGAGGAGTCAGTAGAGCCCAGTGGTCCTTACGCAGAGCTGGTGGGTTGCCTCATGTACCTGATGACTTGCACTCGCCCAGATATCGCATACCCTCTCAGCATCTTGGCTCTCTTTGTGGCGCCAGGCACACACCGACCACAGCACTGGTCAGCTGCTTAGGGTTTTGCGTTATCTAGCAAGTACATCGGCATGGGGTTAGTGCTAGGAGGACGCAGGCTAGTGGTCCTTACTGGGCACATAGACACTGCTTGGGCAGACGACGCTAAGACTCTCAGATCCTTGCAGGGCTACTGCTTTAGCCTTGGTTCAGGTGTCGTCTCGTGGAGGTCCACCCGCTCCTCATGTGTTGCCCAGTCTAGCTGTGAGGCTGAGATCTACGCCGGTGCCATGGCGACACAGGAGCTCCGCTGGCTAACCTTCTTGCTCACAGACTTAGGTGAGCGGCCTAGCTCTGCCCCGATCCTATACGCTGACAACAGGGCCATGATCCTCCTGTGTCAGGAGCCGCGACTTGAGGGCAGAGCAAAGCACATCCAGCTGCGGTACTTCCTCCTGTGCGAGCTACAACAGCGCCGCCAGGCCCGCGTAGTACACCTGGCCTCCGTTGCCAACACAACTGATATCTTTACTAAGGCACTTGCGCCTAAAGATCATCAGCGGCACTGTTAGCAGCTTGGTCTAGTCCCTGTAGCTTCTCACTTGCTAGGATCTTGATTGTGTACTCCTCATTATATATACCTTCGAGACTGGCCTTGTGGCTTCTCTTCCAGTGGCTAGATTAGTAGTGCCGCCCTGGAGTGTTCTTGTCTTGTTTGTACTCTTGCTGACTGGTCTTTGGACCCCTGCCTCAGAGGTTGGACTAGTAGTGCCACCTTGAGCTGTGTGTTCCTAGCTCTGCACTGCCCCTTATCTAGCCCAGGGGGGTGTGTTAACTTATACATATGCTTATATGTAGAAGTTATAGGCTAGATAGGTTTGTGTTCTTAGAGAGTATGTATCCAACCCTATATCTTCCTTGTACTCTCTTGGTTGATCCATTCTAGTATTCTAACAATGAAATGATGCAAATTTATCGACATCACCCCAAGTGGGTAACCAACGCGATGTGGCAGGCACTCGAGCAATAGAGCATATTCGAGTCTTGCTCATATGCGTCATGGCCGTAATCGTCGCCGATGGTGTTAGGGTTGTTATAATTGATGTCAGAAACTTCCTACCGCAGCTCGTTGCACGAGGAAACGGCTGAGGTGGTTGACGTCACTTTGTGCGCCTAGTAAGTGCGGGATGGCACATTGCCATGAAATTCATGATGTGGCGTGCAACTCCTCTGTTGTCATTGAGCCTCGTATGGCAAGAATCCAACATCGAATGAGTGCGTGACGAGTCGCTAGTCTACTTGGAACGGGCGAGCTGTCAAGCACTGATCCTTATGTGGGATGTCGATGGGCCTCTTCTGTTGTGTCCGTGCATTAGTGGCTTCACAAATTGCCCTTTGTTGTAGTAGCAGGGCTTTGCAGGAGCACCATTCGGGTCCGAGGCCCGAGAGGACTAGTGTGACCGAACGATAGGACCCTGATTTGTGTACTACTTATTATGTTATCTGGACTTGCCTTGTGGCTCTTGTCTCAGAGGCTGGAGTAATAGTGCCGCCCTGAGTTACCCTTGTTGAGTTAGTACTCTTGCTGACTGGTCTTCGGACCCCTGCATCAGAGGTTGGACTACCGTAAAAGCCCAGATAGAAGACCCCCTAGTTGTAGAAGACCCATGGTCTTCTATTAGGCGTCTATCTTGTATTCGGGATTCCAGTTTGTAGGATACCCCAAGGCGTTATGAGATATGACCCCCCCCCCCTCTTAGGTGTTTTTTATTCCCCCGGAGCAAGAACCAAGTTTTGCACAAACAAGTTTTATTGACTAAGGCGATGAACGGTTGGGATCAAGCCCGAGTGGGTTGCTGTATCAGGCATTCGCATCTGCATCACACGTGTTACGGTCACGATTGACTTTCGCAAGAAAATCCCCTTCCGCTGAATCCACGGTATCAGATTACTCGATATGCTTTGGTTAACTGTCGGGGCCTTTTCCAGTGAACTTACGAGGGTGTCGATATGCATCCAAATTATCAGAACTCAGTCACTAACCATTGAGTGTATCATGACACAAATGCCCCATTATTTTTTTTCCGTTTATCAGATAAAATGCAATCTTGCATAGTGTTATGTAATAAGACCCATAGGTCTTCTATCCGGGATTTTACGGTAGTAGTGCTGCCCTGAGCTGTGTGTCACTTGCTAGGCACTGCCCCTTACCGTATTCCCCCGGATATACGCGCCTAGGTGAGTCTAGGGATAATAGTCTCAAAATGGGGGGTGCGTTTATTCGAGATCTTGCGATATGGCATAGTGCGTTTCATATGGTTTCTTAGGAAAATTATAAAAGGGCAAGAAAATTTAGCTTGAACAATTTCATTTCGGGTGGATGTTCTCCCAAACGGGAACATCCCCAACAATCCCTTGAGAATTGCCACACACTAGATCGACTCGCCAACCAGGCAGGTTCGCTGCAATTTGCCAGCAAGCAGGCAAGAAGGGTCGATCCTGGCCATCCGTTAGTCTCGTATCGCACGGCAGCAGAGCAACGCTAACCAGGTCTCGCGCGAGGAGGTGACGAGAGGATGGATTCCGTGTGATGAAACAAGAGCATAGGCAAATCTCAACTCGAATTTGTAGTCAACCCAGTCAGCGCAAGAATCTTGCGCGGGAAAATTGGGGGGTGCGTATAGGGATTACCATATTTACTCGGCTTAAAGACCCTAGGGTCTTATCTTGCCCCGGTGTTTTTTTTGGGGGTGTGTTTTGTAATCGGATGCAAATACATAAGACCCGGGCTTAAACTTATACACAAAGATCTTCCATTTTTTAATATACAGAAGTGTGATGTGGAAAATTAGGGACCGTTTGGCTGCCTCTTTTGAAGGTCAAGTCGTGGCTCACCGTTTTCCAATACTGCCAAGCCACACTCCCCTCAGTTTTGGCACATTTCCTGCATGCGCTGGCTGGTTCATTGGCCGTGAACCATCCTCAGCATCACGTCCCTTGTTTGGGGGGTAATGATGCCGAAGTGGCCAGTCAGCTGGACCTTATCGTGCTGTCTTACCCTGTGTCATCTGCATCTGGACCTCCACCCTGGCACGGAATATTCCTCTACAGGGATATCCCATGCACCGCTGTCCTCTGCACGTCTTGGCTCACTGAGATATCCTCTACAAGCGCTGCGGGGAGTGAGGAGGGGTCTGAGCATTCTCTTATCATTTCAGAGCAATTTTGCATTGCTATCCAAGCACCATCTCCCCCTTAGTCTCCTACCGTACAGGCATGCCAACACAGACGACTGGCCTTTGCGCTCTCTTTGCCCATCAGAGGCATGGCGGCTCTGCCTCTGTCAATCCACCTGCACCCGCTTTTGCTGCTCCGCCAACAGTCGTGAACATTAACATCTCCACCGCTGCTCTGCTAGTTCCCACACCCTCCGCCCAGAGCCACCACACCACATGTGCCGCTGGTCCTAGCCATGCCGCTGCTGCCGCCGCTGGACCTAGCAACGTCGCTGCTGCAGCGGCAGGTTCTGGCCACGCCGACGCTGCTGCAGACGCTGGTCCTAGCCACACCGCTGCTGAGGACAAGCATGACAATTTCGATAATGTACGGGTTCCCGATTTCCCCACGCCGCGCACCACCAGGCGTCCGGTTGTCAATCGCGATGCTTCCGAACCTGAACGCTCCAAGTGCAGGCCCGCGAAGGGCGCTCGTCGCGCCCGCTCTGTCAAAGAGAAGATAACATGGCTGCAGGTGATGAAGGTTGAGGATCTCAGCGTCCGCACGAGTGCAAAGCGTGCCGGCGTGCAGCCGTCCCAGATCCGCAAATGGAAGGCTGACGCGGAGCGCTACAAGAAGGCTTTCAGCACGCGTAAGCGTTTCCATGGAGCAGGTAGGAGGTCGCTCTATCCAGATATGGAGCGATCAGTGTACCACTCTTTCCTTGGCTATCATGCGACAAGGGCGCTGGAGCAAGGTCTACATGGACAGGCACCACCCCAAGCAAGACCGGCGTGCCTCAGAGCGTTGGTGTGCACGGTTCCGTGCTCGCTGGGGACTTGTGCATCGTGTGAAGACGAAGCAAGGGCAGCGCCTCGCAAGCGGTAAGCCCAAATGATTAGGAATTATGCGTGGAAATCTGTCATATCAAGCTAACCTCTGCCCTATCTACGTGTCCCTTGTCCCTTAACTTAGATTGCCAGGAGCGGGTAGAGAGTTGTTGGCGCTTCAACAAGGGCATGCGGATCAAGCACAACGTCCACAACGGGTTCATTGTCAATGCGGATCAAAATCCTCTCTGGTTGGAGTTCCCAGAGGAACGCACCCTCGAGCACAAGGGCGCACGCACTGTCCACGTGCGCATGGCGGGTTACGTAAAAGAAAGGGTGACGGTAATGCTTGCCTGCACCGCCGCTGGAGAAAAGCTGCCTCCGTATGTGGTCTTCAAGAGGAAAACGGTGCCAAAGATTGTCTTTCCTAAAGGAGAGTTTCTGGTTCCTGTTGCATGCATTTCCAGCGCTGTAAAGAGTTTCTTGTGCACCACTGTAATCGTTGTTTGTTGCTGACATGCCGGGATGGTCGTTCGCGCACAAGCTAAGGGGTGGATGGATGAGGGCCTAGTGCATGACTGGCTTGTTAAGGTCGTCGCCCCATTCGTCGCGCCGAAGTTCGGTGAACCACGCCAGCCGACGCTCCTCATCCTGGACTCCTACAAAGGACACCTGATGGAATCTGTGAGGCAGACAATGCGGCTCTTAAAGATTTTCCCGGTCATAATTCCTGGTGGCTGCACGTCTTTGATCTAGCCTTCAGACGACTGCATCAACAAGGCGCTGAAGTGCATGGTCCGCAGGGACTACCAGGATTGGTCCGTGACTGCTGGATGCCAGACATCCACGAAGGCTGGTGAGTTCGGTTCTTATGCATGGCTCTCGCATTGTGTCAATCCGTAATGAACTTGTTCTTTTTTGTCGGGGGTGCAGGCAATCTGAAGAAGCCTCATCCCGATGCTGTGCTGAATTGGGTGGACAGATCTTGGGAAGCTATCGCTGCCGACCTCGTCATTCGCGCGTTCAAGACGTGTGGCCTCTCCAACGCCCTTGACGGCTCTCTGCTTCATCCCCTCGCCCGATCATTGCCTGATCTGATCGGTGTTCGTCCGAGTAGCATGCGGTGGCTATTCGTGTCTGTTATTAGATCGTATCTCGCAGATCGCGCATCAAGCAGCCATTGCAACCGGCCGGTTTTTCCAGATAACAATTTTCCGCTAATCTTCGTTGTTCGTGAATCAACTCGCATTGCGATTCATCAGTCCCCCTGATTGACGAGCCTGATCACACCATCTACTTGCCGCGCTAAGTTCTTTACCTCATACTTAACTATGCGTGATCCGATGGATGGCCTTGGCGGTTCCACCGCCTCAACCCACAGCATTGTCTCCTGTTGGCTGCAGCAAGGTGGGGGGAGCAGTGTGCGTCGCCATCTAAGGCCCACCCATGCCCCGACAGGAACCCATTGCATTGTCTTCTGTCGGCTGCAGCAAGGCGGGGGGAGCAGTGTGTGTCGCCATCTGAGCCCCACCCATGCTTCCCCTTGACAGGAACCCATAGCACTGCCTCCTCTCAGCTGCAGCAAGGCAAGGGGAGAAGTGTGCGTCGCTATCTGTGGCACACCCATGCTTCCCTCCGACAGAAACCAATTGCATCAGCTCCTGTCGACTTCAGAAAGGCGGGGGGAGCAGTATGTGTCGCCATCTGAGGCCCACCCATGCTTCCCCCCGACAGGAACCCAGAGCAGTGGCACCTGCTGGCTGCAGCAAGGCGGGGGGAGCAGTGGGCGTCGCCATCTGAGGCCCACCCATTCTTCCCCCCGACTGGAACAGATTGCATTGGCTCCTGTCGGCTGCAGCAAGGTGGGGGCAGCAGTGTGCGTCGTCATCTGAAGCACATTCGTGCTTCCCCGCAACAGGAATCCATTGC